TGTTTTATGCATGTTTTACCAAAAGCCATTATTTTTTGAAAAAAATGGTCCCAAAATAATTTGCGGAAATTGTGGGGTGGAGTCTACAGCAGCGGTAAACGCAAAATACTAAACACGGTCTTCGGCCGCGTAAAGTACTGCTCGCTTTTCTTTTTAAAAAAACCTTGGCGAGAGGGGGTGGATATGGCCGAAAGTATTTTGCGGAATTCGTTGGATCCTGAGTGATGGTGAATCTGAATATTATTAAACTATAAGTGTTTTGCAACATTTTTTAACGTTATTTAATGCTAAAAATATATATTTACAATGTATTAATCAGAATATTAATATTGAAAAATATTCAAATTTTTTTTAAATCAGATTTTTCAAAATTTATAACTAACAAAAGTAGTAAAAATGACGACTTAAATAGTTAAATTACCAATTGTACAAGCAGAAAGTAGTCTTGGAGTAGTTTGCAGACTGTCGTAGCGAGCGTGCGTGGTTAGTCGGCTAAGGTATCGGATTGCGAGCGTTAGGGTAGAGGGTTCAATTCCCGTCGGTTAGAAATTTTCTCTGTTAGGTACATAATCGTTAGAGCATAAAATAAGCGTCAGTATAGGAGAGGAGATGAAAAAGTTAATTCTACTGATAATAAACAATTATAAATAAAAAATAATTTTATTATTCTATTTTTAGTAGTAAAATCTACTACTTAAAGTAGTAGTTTTTATTGCAAAGAATTTTTTAATTCTATGACATAAATGTTTTTAAAGCCTCTTGAACCACTTTAATTAGTAAAAGCTACTACTGAAAGTAGTAGTTATAATTGCAAAAGATTTATTAATTCTACAAAAAAATGTTCTTACAGCCTATTGAACCACTTTCAGTAGTACAGTTTACTACTTAACCTTCGCCGGACTGGATACTTTTTATATACACGGTTGACAAGATCCCACCCAGGGTGGGCCAAATGTTTTCTTCTTTGTATATTGCAATAAAAACTTAGAATCATTCAGTTTATTTCCAAAATTGTTATATGTTACCAAATAATATATTTTATTAATGTTTTGTTGATTTTTTATTTGTTTAAACAATTTATTATTAATAATTCATAACTTTTTCAAATATACATACGACAGTAGAAGAATTTTATAAATTTGTTACCTTTTCTTCGTAGTTATTAATTCAAAGGTTATAAATAAAATAAAATATATAATTCAATTTGCAACAACTATTATTATAAATTGTTTAAACAAATAATTGTTGCTATTTATTAACATTCTTCATAATATTCCTAGAAAATTGCAATTTTTTTCTAATTTTGCAACTTAACAAGCACAACATAATAACACTGTTACGAACGAGAAAATTAATTTATTAATTTTTATAATTTTGAACAATTATTTAAAATTTTCTATTCGCCGGAGGAACCAAGTTGCCATTAAAAAGTCAAAATGAACATTCAACTTAATAATGTTTATTTTTAATGTGGGTTCGATTAATTATATCGCCGATAGAAGACGAAACTGCCAATTTAATCTTTAGATCGTAAATAATGTTTCTTAGCTTTGAGATGAAAATCCACACTATTTTTGACAGCACAAATAAAAAGGTCTATTTGATTGAATAGAACAATTGGAATTTTAGTTTACAAAAATTTATTAAAAATCAAAGTAAAAATTGCAAAAATTACACATTATATGCTTTCTTTTGTAAAGAATAATGTTTTTGGAACGATACAGTTTTTTTATTACTTACGGCTAGATTTCTCTTACACACTACCGTCGAGAGAGCTTGTTGAGAAGGGAGAATTCTCGCGATCTCGTCACACAATCAACGGGCAAAACGAAAGAAAGGTGTTATGCGTATTTCCGCGTCTCGAAACGCGGTACCGGTACCCTATCAGACACAAGCGGCGCAGGTACAATCCGTACGGACTGGCCGGTTTTAAGAACAAAAAATTATTTAATAAATTATAAATAATTTATCAAATAATTTCTCACTGTACTGATCAACCGATTGGGACTCAGCCGGTTCAAGGTTCGATTTAATTTTACGTCCGCCCAAAGAAAATAGAATTTAAATTGGAGCCAGCTCGCAGACGGGCTTTATTCTTAAAATTAAAAATTGGCTCAACGAAAATCTATCGTGATTCAGCAATTTTAATTTTAGAAATTTAAGCACTGCTGTTAATTTACCTGGCTCAACGAAAATCTATCGTGATTCAGCAGGTATATTATTGAGCTTTCTCCACAGTTTAAACTCTAAGTTCACTTTTTAAAGAAATAATGCAAAAATCAGTAACACGTACTAAGTGATTGACTGAAGACGAATAGGCAATGAGGCCCTATGAGCTTCTGCTTATAAAGAGCATCGCGAGATGCACTTAGTGGGATTAGTGAATCAGGGGTAGAAGGATTCTGGGGGTTTCAGGGGTATCGATAAGAAAACTTAGATCATCGTCCATCGATATTCTCAGAACCCATGATTCTTGTTATTCTTTTCTCTGTTGACACTATTGGAACTGCACATCTCCATATGTGTAAGTGTATATGTGTGTTTTTAATAAAGTATAACTCGCAACCTTTGTTGAATTCCAGAGCGGTCATAGTTCTGCACAGATTATCGTTTTCATATTAAAAATGAAACTATTTTCCTTTTTATATATGCATATACATTTTACGCATACACACGTACATTTACCTTAGTACACATATATGCACGACATACATGTCTCAAAAATTTTCTTCTCTTTTTTTTTATATGCATTTTGTTTTTTTTTACAAAATTGACCCTCTTAAAATAAAATCTTAATTGTTGCGAGTTTATATGTGTTTGGAAAATGTGACATGTTCCAATTTAAGCTATCAACAATTATTGTATCTTTATTTCCTTTTTTTTAATTTGAAGGTATTATAAGGAAAAGAATAGGGGAAGGAAGGCAGTGTTTGCATCGCGCGATACTCCTCAAGCGCCTCACACATATGCGTTACGCAGGCTATGGGGAGTCCGTGTCTGTGTGTACCGCATCCACGCTGCGAGACTCATTGCACCTGAACGCGTGAGAAAGAGAGAGAAAGATAGATAGAATTGACATATGCGATTCTTCTCCCTTCTTATAAAATAATACATTTTCGTAAATATAATAATTGCAATATAATAATCACATTATTGTTGGTTACTATAATATGCGTAGAAATGTGCAACCAAACAATGTATACACATATACATATATGCATATCACTTTGGCATACTATGAACACACGTACACACGATAAAAATAATGCACACGCATACGTGCATATACAATGCATATTCTTTGAAATAATATTTGATAATGATGATTCTAATAAGTAGAAAAATAGTATTGGTAATATATCCAATTGTTTATAATAATAATTATGATTAATTATTAATATTAATTTTAGTAAATGTAATTAACAATGATAATAATACGATTTATCATTATTAATAAAAAAAATCATGAATTAACAATAATTTGCATATTGTTAATTAATTAATTACTGCAAATTATTAATAAAAATGAGTAAAGTATAATTGTTTTATTTATAATAATATTTTAGTATCTTTATATAAGGTAAGTACACTATATTATACTTTTCATGCATATATTTATAATATTCAAGCTTGAATATTGGTATTAGATAATTAATATAGTTTATAATATAGCATAATATAATATAGTATAAATCATAATATAGAATAATATAACATAAGATAGAATAAAATAATATATTATAATATAACAGTTTAACAAAGTTATATTATAATATCATAGTCATAGATACATTTTTAGAAGCAACGAGAATATAAGACTGTGTGTGTGGAGTATCACTCAACGCGCGCGATTATCGGGGATTCAAATTACATGCCTATATACATTGTGGCATCGACTTGGAGATTTTATTCTTAAATAATTTTCAATTATTCTTGAAAATTATTTATTATCATTTTATTTATCTTTTATTTATAATTTCGTTACGATAGTTCGTAACAAACACAAAGATTTTATATGAATTTACTATTTAACCAATTGTTTAAACAAATAATTGTTGCTATTTATTAACTTTCTTTATAATGTTCCAAGAAAGTTGCAATTTTTTTCTAATTTTGCAACTTAACAAGCTCAACATAATAAACATGAAGATTTTATATGAATTTAGTATTCAAACGATTGTTTAAACAATTTATTGTTGTTATTTATTAACTTTCTTGTAGTGTACCTAGAAATATGCAGTTTTTTCCTAATTTTGCAATTTATCAAACCGAATATAATATAGCCAGACAGATTTGACATAAATTTACTAATTTAACAATTGTTTAAACAATTGTTGAATTTACAATTTTACATCAAATCTATCTTTTATTATATTCGGCTTGATGAGTTGCAAAATTAGAAAAAAACGGCAACTTTCCAGGTGCTGTACAAAAAAAGTTAGTAAATAACAACAATAAATTGTTTAAACAATTGTTGAATTAATAATTTTACGTCAAATCTATCTTTTATTATATTCGGCTTGATAAATTGCAAAATTAGAAAAAAAACTGCATCTTTCTAGGTGCAGAACAAAGAAAGTTAATAAATAATAACAATAAATTGTTTAAACAAATGAAAAATGCAATATAATATTTTTTATATCTATTATTTGACATCATAAAACACTCACAGTGAAAAGTCTGCATGATTTCAAGTCTTTTTGTAAAATAGAATTAAAAAAATATCTGAATTATCCCGGTTATCTCCGTACATACATTGATAAAAGTTATAAATAATCAAGAAGAAATTTTTTTTAAAAATTTGTTTTTACATTTTTTGAAAGTTCTTAAGATTTTGTTCAGTGACTTAAAATCGCGATTCAATTAAGGCAAAACTTTAGAAGATATGGCAATTTCAATTTGTCTGGCCCACCCTGGGTGGGCATCTTGTCAAGCGAAGGTTAAAGTAGTAGTTTAAATTGCAAAAGATTTATTAATTCTACAAAAAAATGTTCTTACAGCCTATTGAATACACAGAAAAAGCTTAGTCTCATTTTTGTTACATCTCAAAATGAGCCAGTGCTAAACGACATAGACAGTGGCGCCACCAACCTGGCTCATATTTAAATGAGTAGCGCACGCTACTCATTTTGAGACTAGGTTTGAGCCCTATTGAAAATTTGTACAAAGTTTCCCATGTGTAATCCTTTAAAACGAATCTACAAGGAATCCTCATAAGATCCTTTATAACATCTTACGTGGGATGCATTTAAGGAAGCTTCCAGAAAACATACGACATTACTGTACGAATCTACTTTAGGCAATGTTACAGGAAACTATGTTATAGGATCCTACAAAGGAAGTCACAATAAATGAAAATTTAAAAAAATTTGATTATTTATTTATTCTTGTTTTGTTGTCTTCCTTGTTCTCCGACTTCTAGTATTTTGGAGAAATATTTAAAAATAAATTTAGAGGGACTGGGGATTGAACCCGGTTCGACCCGCGCTAGCTAAAGACCCTATACACTAACTTAACCACTGACACACTAATTTAACCCCTTCCCAGTCCAGTTAAAAATCGCTGGTGGGCCTAAAACGGTCCGAAAAAAAGTTTCCAAAAAAATATGACTTCATCATATTTAAGGTTTTTGTGGTCGCTGAATTCGAATTTGAGGTCAGTTTTTCAAAATTCAAAATGGCGGATCCAATATGGCGGACAAAATTTTAAACAATCAATCCAATTTGCCTGAAATTTGTTACTCGGGGGTTTTCGGGGTCGCTAAATTCAAATTTGAGGTCAGTTTTTCAAAATTCAAAATGGCGGATTCAATATGGCGGACAAATTTTTAAAAAATTGATCCGGTTTGCCTGAAATTTGTTACTTGGGGGTTTTTGAGGTCGCTGAATTCGAATTTGAGGTCGTTTTTTTTAAATTCAAAATGGCGGATTAAATTTGGTGACCAAATATGTTAAATAATGTAAAAAGTAATGTGTTTCGGCCGAAAATCGTTACTTGGGGGTTTTTGGGGTCGCTGATTTCGAAAATTCCAAAAATCTCTAAAAAACGATTTTCGGTGTAAACACATCAATTTTTAAATTGTCTGCCATATTTGTCCGCCATATTGGATCCGCCATTTTGAATTTCAAAAAACCGACCTCAAATTCGAATTCAGCGATCCCAAAAACCCCCGAGTAACAAATTTCAGGCGAATCAAATTAAATTTAGTATTATTTTTTTGCGGTGGCCATATATGGCCACTTGCACAAAGGTGGCACGACTTTTTCTGGCCACATATGGGCCCTGGACTGTCAAGGGGTTAAAAGTATCAAATTGATACCAAAACTATAAAATTGATATAAGAATTTCGATCAATTTGATATATTCAGTATGAGTTTCCCACATAGCACAGTATTTTGCTGTAAGGCTGTGGTAAGGGTTAATGGTATGGCTTGTAAGGTTATGCGATAGAGCTGTGGTAGACTTAAGGTGAACTCACAATTTCCGCTCAGATGGTGGGGTTACCAGTAAAGGTTGAGGTAAGCTTACAAGTAAAGGTTGATGTAAGCTTACAAGTAAAGGTTGAGGTAAGCTTACATGTAAAGGTTGTGGTAAGGTTACATGAAAAGGTTGAGGTAAGGTTACATGTAAAGGTTGAGGTAAGCTTATGAGTAAAGGCTGTGGTAAGGTTATTATTAAGTTGTAAGGTTGAGGTAAGGTTGTGATAAGCTTACAAGGTAAGGCAAGTTATATTCAAATAATAATATTAATAATAAATAAATATTCAAGAAAAAAATTTTTTTTGCCTTATTCTATTTTGGGAACATATCATTTCGCAGAAAGTTTTGAAAACAAATTTGGGAGGAGTAGGATTCGAACCCGGGACCGACGTATATATCTAACAACCTAACCAACTGAGCTAAACGGGAACTGACAATGTGAATATTAATCTTGCTTTTAAGGAGTTGATTATCTTCTTGGTTCCACTTTAAAAGCAAGATTACTTTTCTCATTGTCAGTTACCCGTTTAGCTCAGTTGGTTAGGTTGTTAGATATATACGTCGGTCCCGGGTTCGAATCCTACTCCTCCCAAATTTGTTTTCAAAACTTTCTGCAAAATGATAGGTTCCCAAAATAGAATAAGGCAAAAAAAATTTTTATTGAATATTTATTTATTATTATTATTATTATTTGAATATAACTTGCCTTACCTTGTAAGCTTACCACAACCTTACCTCAACCTTACAACTTAATAATAACCTGACCACAGCCTTTACTCATAAGCTTACCTCAACTTTTACATGTAACCTTACCACAACCTTTACATGTAAGCTTACCTCAACCTTTAAATGCCCAGTTGAAAATTCCGACTTCGTTTACGACGTCGTATTCTAAGTAGTTTGCGACGTAGTAAACGACGTAGTAAACGACGTAGAAAACGACGTAGAAAACGACATAGTAAACGACGTCGTAAATGAAAGCGGAATTTGGGATAGCAAACTACGTCGTTTACTACGTCGTTTACGATGTCGTTTACTACGTCGTTTACGATGTTGCAAAAATTATTTTAATATTATTTATTTAGTAATTTAGTAAGTCCAATATCCAATATTAAAAATTTTAATAATAATTTTAAAAAAAATTTATTTTTATTATTTTTTAATAGTTATTATTATTATTTTTTAATAGTTATTATTATTATTTTATTTTTAATATTTAAATTAAAATAAAAAAATGGTCATCAAAATATTAGTGAAACCATTTCTTCCAAAAAAGAATTTGTCTCAAATCCAATAAAGGAGAGACATCGGGCAGAAAAAAATTTCGACAAAAAAAAATTTTCGATCACTGCTTATATACCAATCTAATGGCACCTCAACTGCGAGAAACAGTTATGATGTTCGCCCTCCCTGTGGCGTTGAGCGAACTTAAGTCCAGAGCTGAGCCATCAGCGCAGCGCGGAAACATTTGAAAAATTTGATTTTATTAGATATTTTATTTTATTTTAAATATGACAAATAATTAACTTAATAAGTAATTAATGTCATAAATAATTATTAATAACATAATGTCATACTTAATAATTCGTTAATTAATTATTTTTAACGAAAATTTGACAAAAAAAAAATTTGTTGGCCAAAAAAAATATTACCATTAAAAAATAATTTTTTTGTTAAATTTTCGTAGTAAAAAAAATTTTTTTAAGACAATTATTTATGACCTAAAAAAATATCACGATGAGAATATAATTAACAAAAAAAATTACTCGTAGCACAGAAAAAATTTCACCATGAGAAAATAATTTTTTTAAAATTTTATTTGTAAAAAATTCATTGGTAGCTCAAAAAAAAATATCACGATGCGAAAATAATTTTTTGTCAAATTTTCTCTGTAAATAAATTAATTAACTAAATAACGTACCGTAAAACGGGGTTATTTCGCTCATTGCGGGTAAATTCGCTCACCCACTTTTATGCTTTATTTCAGCTTTAAAATAAAGTTTAATACCTTTATTAGCAGGTAAAAATGTTAAATTTGTTAATAGAAATACTAAATTTTAGTTTTTAATCAAATTTAAAGCAAAAAAATAGGTGAGCGACTTTACCCGCACTGAGCGAAATAACCCTGTTTTACGGTAATTATTAGTTACTTAATTTTTTACTACGAAAATGTAACAAAAAAATATTTGTAGCACAAAAATAATATCAAGATGAGAATTTTAATTATTTTTAAATTTTCTCTTTAAAAAAAATATTTTGTGGCCTAAAAAAATTATCACGATAAGAAAATAACTTTTTTGTCAAATTTTCTCTCCAAAACAATTAATTCACTAAATACCGTAATAAATCGTTGTTTTTTTTACTACGAAAATTTACCAAAAATTTATTCGTAGCACAAAAGAATATCACAATGATAAAATAATAATTTTTTTTCAAATTTTCTTTGAAAAAAAAAATTCGTGTTTTTAAAAAAAATCACGATGAAAAATAATTTTGTTGTAAAAATTTCTCTGTAAAAAAATTTAACAAAAAAATTATACGTAGCACAAAAAAATATTACGATGAGAAATTTACTTATTTTTAAATTTTCTCAGTAAAAAAATTATTTGTGGCCCAAATAAAATATCACGATGAGAAAATAATTTTTTTTGTCAAAATTTATCTGTAAAAAAATTAATTAAATAATTATATAATAATAAAATGCTTGGTCTGTCCTTCTGTCCTAACTTGAAGTTGGCCTTTTCTGATTTCACGTGTTTTTTTGAATAGTAATCTTATGACGTGTCAAATTTTGACAATTCTTTTTCTCATTTTTGCCGAAGTTGTATAATTGTGTTTCCAAATTTCTTTAAAATAAAATAATAGAATAAGTTTCTTTAAAATTCCAAATTCGAAAATTCAATTCACGAAGCTGAAGTACACAACGTTTACCAACGAAATTTTTTTTAAAGTTGTATATTAATTCAAAAATTGTATATTGATTCAAAAATTGTATACAAATACAAAAAATTTATGATGAGAAAAAAGATGCGCCAGGAAATTTCGTACAAGATAGTAATTTGAAAAAAATTTATTTTTAAGGTACCAGGGGCCAACGATTACCTATTAAATATTAATTATAAAAACACAGGCCTCGAATCAACTTAAAGGCACAAAACAGTCGTTTAAGTCGATTTATATTCCAAAAAAAAAGTGGATTTGTTTTTCATTTTAACAAAAATGTTTTACAGATTTTTAAATAAAATTTTTTTTTTAATAATAATCCTTTTCGAAGGGTTAAAGTTGAAATTTTTAGAATTAATTTTTCAAAAGATATTGCTAATTTTCAAACAATTATTAAATTTTACAGAACTAAAAATAATTTATCAAACAATTTTTGGAAAACATTTTTTAAATTTAATTGAATTTTTAAAGATTTAAAATTGAGATTTTTGAAATTAATTGAAACTTTAAGTGTTTTATAATTAAAATTTTAGATAATTTTACTAAAAATTTATTAGAAAATGCGGACAAAATACCTACAATAATTTGAAAATCATTTTTAATTG